CTGTGTCTGAATGACTGCCTGCACATACAGGAGCGTTCCGCCCATGACCCATCTGGACAGCGTCGCTCCCTTATGCTTACCACGGAGGAAGTCGGCGCGGGCGTCGGCGGCGAGGGCGGCGAGGGCGGCCCGCAGCCCTTCTGCGTCGCCGGCGCGGACCAGAGCCATCTGAAAGGGAAGGCGACTCGATCTTCATCGGAGGCGGACTCGGGGCACCAGGCGCGCGCGCTCTCATCGCACGGAGGAAGGAGGGATCCTCTCAGGAAGGGAGGAACCACACGGACCGAGGGATGGTGGTGGCGATGGGGATTCGTTCTCTTCTCTCTCTCTCTCTCTCTCTCTCTCTCTCTCTCTCTCTCTCTCTCTCTCTCTCTCTCTCTCTCTGTCTGCCAGAACCCCATCCACTACACCAGTGCCTCATCCACCACACCAATGCCCAATACACTACACCACTGCCCAATACACTACACCACTGCCCCACTACACTATACACTACACTGCCCCATACACTACACCACTGCCCCATACACTACACCACTGCATACACACCACTGTCGTACCCACTACACCATTGTACCACTTTCTCGCTACACATCCCCCTTCCCACTGCATCCCCGACACCACTTCCTAAGATGTGATATCATGGTTGTCTCATCTTCTCGGACGACACTTTCCTTTGGTAATGACTGACTGAAAGCATGATGATATAGTGGAAAAGAAAATGAATGAATTAACAACATATGTAGAGATACATACCAATGCATACGCACACACACACACTCTCTCTCTGTCTGTCCCTTCTCCTTCTTTGGAAACACCCAATAACTAGTCAACTGTAAGAGTTCCCAAAGTACCCGGTGAGGCCACAGTGGCACAGACACTGGCTCTTCTGGACGAGACGATCCCGAAGGTCATCGGAAGAAATGCCTTCCCCGCGTCGCTGTTCAACTCGCAGCCACCAGAGAGTGGTTACAGTCCTGAGCACGCTGCGCCAAGGGCTACTTACGAGGCGGTCGTTGCTGTAAAGGGAAGCCATCGTAGCGGTCGGGGCGTCGGTTGCGGTGTTGCTGTTGGAGCGTTGGCGGTGTCCCTTCGGCAGTTGGCGCTGCGGGTTGCGAGTGAGCTCGCTGCGGCCGGCGCCGCCCTGCTGCCTCCTCTTATCGCCGACCTTCGCTCCGCAGATAACGCAAACGGGGTAGCTAGCCTCGCTCACGCCCTTACGACACACACAAACCCTTTACAAAGCTATGCAACGCTATGCACGCATTTGCCTGCCCCGTTATGAGCAAAGCCTCCTGCTTGCCCGTCCTGGCCGTGTTTCCTCCTACGTCATTAACGAAAGCTGGAGGTCTCTCTATCATCATTATTATCATCTTTAGTTGACTCTTTTCCGTTTTGGACAGCCATGTGTCTTTTATTTTTTGTCGTAAGCGAGCCAGCTATTTCCTAGGGACACAGGAGACCGGCGGAGCACCTGAGTGCCCCCTTAGCAAGGGGCGCACCCGTTTGCCCTTGGAAGCTATCCCGCCTGGCAATCCCGCTCGAACTGTGCCTGCGTTCACTGGAGACACGGCGATGACTGAGTTTACTCCGAGATGCGCTCAGGTACTCTCACTCTCATTTATTTCTCTCTCTCTGCCTCTCTCACGTATGATGTCTCTCTCTCTCTAGATCTATTACTTACACTCACTCAGTTACTCTCACTCACTCTATCTCTCTCCGTCTCTCCCTCAGTCTCTCACGCAATCAGTTACTCTACCTCTCTCGGTCTCTCCCTCACTCATCTTTGCCTGTTTCTCACTCAGTTACTATTTCTTTCGCACGCAGTTAATCACTGTCTACGGCATGTGACTCATAAACTTATTCTCTATTTCTCTCTCTCATTCATTCACTTGCTCTCTCTGGCTCACTCACTCAAATAACTTTTCTCTCTCTCTCTCAGTTACACTCTCTAAATCAATTTTCTTCATGTCTCAGTTGCTCTTTCTCACCGTCCCTTACTCCCTAAGCTACTATCTCGCATTCACTCAGATGATTACTCTCTGTGCCTTTCACTCATTCAGCAACTGTTTCTCTTTCCTTTATTTACTCAGTTTTTCTCTCTCTCTTACTCGACCTTACTCCTGTCTCTCTGTTTATGTCTGTCTCTCCCTCATTTTCTCTCTATATGTCTCTCATCCACTCATTCACTCCCTCATTTACGCAGGGGTTGGGGAGGACGAGAGTCCTGTTTGTCACGTGACCAAGTAAAGGTGAGTGTTGTAATGTGTCCTTGCTGTCTACCCGAGGAGGCGACTGATAAAAAGATAAAGGCTCTTATCTCATGTTTATTAGTATACGCTAGTATTTGTGTATGTTTGAATTTGTTTGTGTGTGTTTTTGTCTGTTTCTTTGTCTCTGTCTGGACGTGATGTTTCTTTGTCTATGTTTGTTAGCGTTTATTTGTGTTTGAATGTTATGCTCGTGTCTGTTTCTTTTGTGTGTGTGTGTGTGTGTGTGTGTGTGTGTGTGTGTGTGTGTGTGTGTGTGTGTGATGATCCCTAACCGACGTCCCGTTAGAAGCCGTAAAATAAGTGCTATTCCAAAATTGACGGTGATCTCATTTCATAATTCCTGCTCAAAAGGACGTCATTTTCCAGACCCCAACATCTTCGGACGCGTCAGTCGGAACACTGTGGAGTTCAGAGAGCAAATAATATGCACAGAATTAAGAAGAAAAGGAAGAAAACCGTGTCATTGCCGAGGCGGGTCACGCCCTTCAGCCCTACTCAGCGAGCTGGCGACGCAGGGGTTGGGGGAGGAGGAAGAGGAGGGCGACGCAGGGGTTGGGGAGGAGGAGGAGGAGGAGGGCGACGCAGGGGTTGGGGAGGAGGAGGAGGAGGAGGGCGACGCAGGGGTTGGGGAGGAGGAGGAGGAGGAGGAGGGGTTGGGGAGGAGAGGAAGAGGAGGGCGACGCAGGGGTTGGGGAGGAGGAGAGGAGGGCGACGCAGGGGTTGGAGGAGGAGGAAGAGGAGGGGACGCAGGGGTTGGGGAGGAGGAGGAGGAGGGCGACGCAGGGTTGGGGAGGAGGAGGAAGAGGAGGGCGACGCAGGGGTTGGGGAGGAGGAGGAGGAGGAGGCGAAGCGAGGGCGACGCAGGGGTTGGGGAGGAGGAGGAGGGCGACGCAGGGGTTGGGGAGTTGGGGGAGGAGAGGAGGGAGGAGGAGGAAGAGGAGGGCGACGCAGGGGTTGGGGGAGGAGGAGGAGGCGACAGGGGTTGGGGAGGAGGAGGAAGAGGAGGGCGACGCAGGGGTTGGGGAGGAGGAGGAGAGGAGGACGCAGGGGTTGGGGAGGAGGAGGAAGAGGAGGGCGAGGGGTTGGGGAGGAGGAGGAGAGGAGGGCGACGCAGGGGTTGGGGAGGAGGAGGAAGAGGAGGGGACGCAGGGGTTGGGGAGGAGGAGGAAGAGGAGGGCGACGCAGGGGTTGGGGAGGAGGAGGAGAGAGGAGGGCGACGCAGGGGTTGGGGAGGGAGGATTGGGGAGGAGAGGAGGAGGACGCAGGGGTTGGGGAGGTAGGAGGGGAGAAGAGGAGGGCGACGCAGGGGTTGGGGAGGAGGAGGAGAGGAGGGCGACGCAGGGGTTGGGGAGGAGAGGAGGGCGACGCAGGGGTTGGGAGGAGGGAGGAGGGCGACGCAGGGGTTGGGGAGGAGGAGGAAGAGGAGGGCGACGCAGGGGTTGGGGAGGAGGAGGGAGGGCGACGCAGGGGTTGGGAGGAGGAGGAAGAGGAGGGGCGACGCAGGGTTGGGGAGGAGGAGGAAGAGGAGGGCGACGCAGGGGTTGGGGAGGAGGAGGAAGAGGAGGAGGGCGACGCAGGGGTTGGGAGGAGGAGGAAGAGGAGGGCGACGCAGGGGTTGGGGAGGAGGAGGAAGAGGAGGGCGACGCAGGGGTTGGGGAGGAGGAGGAGGAGGAGGGCGACGCAGGGGTTGGGGAGGAGGAGGAAGAGGAGGGCGACGCAGGGGTTGGGGAGGAGGAGGAGAGGAGGGCGACGCAGGGGTTGGGGAGGAGGAGGAAGAGGAGGGCGACGCAGGGGTTGGGGAGGAGGAGGAAGAGGAGGGCGACGCAGGGGTTGGGGAGGAGGAGGAGGGCGACGCAGGGGTTGGGGGGAGGAGGAGAAGGAGGAGGGCGACGCAGGGGTTGGGGAGGAGGAGGAAGAGGAGGGCGACGCAGGGGTTGGGGAGGAGGAGGAAGAGGAGAGGGGTTGGGGAGAGGAGGAGGAGGAGGAGGGCGACGCAGGGGTTGGGAGGAGGAGGAGGAGGGCGACGCAGGGGTTGGGGAGGAGGAGGAAGAAGGAGGGCAGGGGTTGGGGAGGAGGAGGAGGGAGGGCGACGCAGGGGTTGGGGGAGGAGGAGGAAGAGGAGGGTTTTGGGGAGGAGGAGGGAGGGGCGACGCAGGGGTTGGGGAGGAGGAGGAGGAGCAGGGAGGAGGAGGAGGAGGCGACGCAGGGGTTGGGGAGGAGAGGAAGAGGAGGGCGACGCAGGGGTTGGGGAGGAGGAGGAGGAGGAGGCGACGCAGGGTTGGGGAGGAGGAGGAAGAGGAGGGCGACGCAGGGGTTGGGGGAGGAGGAGGAGAGGGGGGCGACGCAGGGGTTGGGGGAGGAGGAGGGCGGACGCAGGGGTTGGGGAGGAGGAGCGACGCAGGGGTTGGGGAGGAGGAGGAAGAGGAGGGCGACGCAGGGGTTGGGGAGGAGGAGGAAGGGCGACGCAGGGGTTGGAGGAGGAGGAAGAGGAGGGCGACGCAGGGGTTGGGGAGGAGGAGGAAGAGGAGGGCGACGCAGTGGTTGGGGAGGAGGAGGAAGAGGAGGAGGATATTGGTGTTCGATGGAATACACATAGTCATAAATGGAGTTTTCCTTCGAAGTAAAGGTGAGTGTTGTAATGTGTCCTTGCTGTCTACCCGAGGAGGCGACTGATAAAAAGATAAAGGCTCTTATCTCATGTTTATTGGTATACGCTAGTATTTGTGT